AGTTTAGATAGTCGGTTTTGCTGCATGTTTTGTGCTTTTTTTACGTAGTGAAACCTAAACTTTCATATTTCCACACATAGCAATCAAAGCTTAATTAATATCAAATCAAAAAATTACAGTTAATAATTTTAAAAGATGAAACACATATTTTCATACAAATGTTTAAAGCATCATAGTACCATGTATAACGGTCAATTTATATTCATATCACATAATTGTTATACGTTTACATTTCTTAAACCTAAACTTTAATATATTCACACGTAGCACTCCAAATATTAATATCATATCAGAAATAACACTATTACTACTTTTAAAAAAGTGAAATATACATTTTCACGCATAGGTTTAAAGCACCGAAGGGTCATGTATGTAAAAAAAAAATTTATATGTGAGATATGTAAAACATAAAATTTTGTTGCCAAGTACTCGAATTTTCCTTGAAAAAAGCTAAATTTACATATTTAGGACAAAATTATTATTTATTTACATGCCTTAAACCTAAACTTTCATATTTACATGAATAGCACTAAAATATTTAATATCACATCAAGAGCATCAATGCCATAATTAGAAATTTTAGAAGTGAAATACACATTTTCATGCTTAGATTTAAAGCACCGAAGTGTCATATATATATATATAAATATAAAAGTTTAGTAGTAAGATATATAAAAATATAAAAATTGTGTGCTTATGTTCTTTTTCCTTTAAAAATTTTGTTTACGTGCACAACATACAATTCTTATGTTTTTACACATCTCAAACCTAAGCAATCATCTTTACAGACATAGCAATAATAATTTTAATATAATAACAAAAATATAATAATTACTATATTTTAATAGTGAAATACACTTTTTCAAGCATATCTTTAAAGCACCAAAATTTCTTTTATATATAAATGGAAATTTACATTCATATCACATATTTATTATGTATTTACATATCTCAAATCTGAACTGTGATATTTTTCACATATTGCCCTCAAACATTTAATATCACATTAGAAATAGCAATATTAATACTTTTTAAAAAGCAAAATACACATTCACTCATAGGTTTAAACCACACCCAAGTATTAAGGCTTTCTTTGGGGCCGCTTCTTTCACGCGGCGCGGCCCCAAACCGCGAATATTTTCCGTTTGGCTCCCAGCTTCGCGGCCCAAAGAAGCTAAAGCGGGCGGAAAGCCAACCGCAGGATCAGCCCCGCTGCCCAGCTTTCCCCTCGCTAATGTTCCACATTGCCCCCGTTTTTGGGGCAAATGACACCTCTACTCTATCGTTCTGTCTGTTGTTCCCATGTCGTCTCGGCATCTCGCCTGGTGTTCTCGACCCCGCGCGTTCTTCTTTCTGACCCCGTTCTTCTTCTCGACCACGTTTTTCTTCTTCTTCCCGACCCCGTCTTCTTCTTCGCGACGCCGTTCTTCTTCCCGAACCAGCGCCTTCTTCTTCCCGACCCTGTTCTTCTTCCCAACCCCGCAACGGTTCTGGTTCGAAATGGAGAATTGTAGCTGAAGTTCACAATTTGTCTACAAAGGTGGCAGTTTTGTTTACTAGTTTCCTATTTTTTATTTTTCTTTGATTTTTTAACCCCTTCGAGCTTCATGCTTCATTGTCAGAGGAGGAGTAGAATAAATGAAAATGAGAGCGTTGTAGAATCTGATTCCTAATTCTAACAAGGTTGGTAGTTGCTTTCAGATTGGTTTTTGGAAATGCTTTGTTTGGCTATATTTGCTTGATTCGCTGCAGTGCTTTGGATATTATGTTTCCTGATTTTTTTTCCTAGTTATGTAAACCGTGCGTAGTGATCTCTAAGCTTATTCTTTTTAGCGGATTGAAATGTAAATTTTAACTGTGATTGTATTAAATATTTTAATGCATTAAATTTTTACCTAAACTTTCTGTTATGTTATGTTGGTACAATAGTGCTAATATTAATTTCTAGTTATGCCTTAGCCATATTAAGCATTTATTTAAACTTGCTATTGGATAAATCCCAATAACTGTGATTTTATTATCCTTTCATATAATGACAACATTGCAAATCAAATAAATCCTCCAAAGAGTCTTTTATGATTTGATAGAAACTTAATTCATTTCTCATCGTCTGAACGTTATAATTAATATAATCATATTATTAATTGCTATTTTAATAGTTTTAGACTTTTTTTGCAGTATAGATACTCATTGTGAAGTGAAGTATGCATTTGTAATTCTGTATTGTTTTTAAGTGAATTGTTGTCTTAAAAGTATTAAATTTATGATTATCACAGTTCTGTTAAACACAATATTTCAAAATATGGGCAGAATTGTCATTTCTGCATAAACAACTATCTTACAGTTGTTTTCACACAGCTGCATCAAACAGACAGTCAAATTCTCCGCAGCAGCTTCCCCACAACAGCTTTCTTGGATAGTGCAGCTGTAGCTGAAAAGCTGAGAAGCTGCAGCTGCGCCAAACAGAGCCTAAGTGTAAATACAAAAATATTGGTGCGACATACATAAAAACGTAAGAATTGTGTAATAGGTATGTCAATTTGCCATAAAAAAAGGCATTTATATGTCGAGCACACAATTCTTATATATTTACACATCTAAAAATTAAACTTTCACATTTACACACATAGTACTGAAAATTTTAATATCACATCAAGAGCATCAATATCACAACTATCAATTTTTAAAAGTGAAATACATATTTTAATGCATGGACTTAAAAAACCAAAGTTTATTGTATGTAAATATGAAATTTTAGTAATGAGATATATAAAACATAAGATTTGTGTGATAGATATGTAAATTTGTCGTTAAAGTTTAGGTGTTAGATATGAAAAGACCTAAGAGATGTGTTGTAAGCACGTAGCAATGAAATACATCTTCAAAATCATACCAAACTGAAACAAAACTTTTTATTCTTCTAAAACACTCAATCTTAAAATGCAAAAAATCTAACGGTTCAAATGAAATAAAATCTTTACAGAATACTGGAATTAATTTTACTTATGATTTGAGTATAAGAACATGAGAAACCATTAATTCTAATAAACGTAGGAATGGAGAGAATTTGATCGGCTCTAGAGCGAAACGCACGTGCACGAAGAAAATGAGGCATCTCAGACATCAGTTCAATATTAAGACCCTTTCCAATTGCTTTACAACAATCATTTGACTATGGTGTATAATTTCTTATTAAACGATGGATTTGACCGTCGGTTAAATTAACATGATCTTCAGTTATTAATAGCCCAAGAAGTTACGACAAAAGTTTCCGAGGAGTTTTGGCGGTCGCTTTATAATTAACTATGAATTGATGGTTTGGACCAATGGTGGTTAATTCATAAACATCAGAAAGTCAATTCACCTGAAACGCACAGTTTAATCGGTAGCTAATTTTCAGTTATGCTGACAGTCGCTAGGTCATTGGAAATAAAGCTAAATTTAACTGCACGTACTAGACTCAATTTTTCTGTCAGTTTTAACTATTTTTCTTGTAGTTGACAACCCTTATATAAAACACTTTAAGATGGCCCAAGATCTTAGTAGCTAGATTTAACATTTGTGCCTCAATGATCCAATGAGATCAACTTTTATTTATGAGAACACATGATCTAAAGATAATATTTCCAAGAATTCATGATCCATTTCAAATAACCATTATTTATTTGACCAGTAGCTGTAGAAAAATTAAATATATAAAAAAAAACTTGCATTTTGCTAGAACTCTTTCTTCATCCTTGTCAAAGTAGCATTCAAAATTAGAGATTCACTACGTCTAGTTTGTTTTTTTTCTGTCTTTGGGGTTTCTGATATTTGTATGTTTAGCCAAATGCTATCTTTATTTTGTTTTGTTTCATTGCTTTGGGACTAATATCGATCCCAGCCCTCATTTTGTATTCTTAACTCAATTATGAAAATATTCTTATTTTCTATTATAAAATAATAAAAAATGGAGGATGGATATTTCATAATCAAACTAAGCTTAAATGATGATGAACTAGCTATCTTGTTTGATTCAGGCAGTTATTAGCAAAAATCTGCTAGATATTACGACCTTTGATGATGACTTTGGTTAGTAAATACATTATGTACTTCATATAGATGATGACTCATTATATGCCAAAATTTTAATGGATTGAATTGATGAAAATAGTTCTGAAGGAGTGGTTGTCGCTCATAAGGGCCGAGCTACAAAAGAACAATGCTGTATGCCATAATTTTAACATGAATTAATTTTGCTTATAGAAAAGATCACTTTGGAATCAACCACACACAAAATGATGGAATTTTGAATCTGCAGGTACTTAAAAAACTTGAATTTTTAGAATCAATTCTATATATAATAATGTTCACAGACCAATATGATTGAATCTCGCCAGCAAACCGTACAAATTGCACCTTTGTTTGTAAGAAAATGATAAATTTATTACTTTTTATTACAAAATGACACCAAAACTCTATGTTTTCAAAATTTTAGGACAAAACTCTATCTTTTTTAGTAATCATTTATCTTAATTGAGCGAGAAGCTGATTTTTACAAATAAATCTTCTTAATTATGTTAAATAGTCTGTCAAAAATTAATAAAAATAAATAAAATTTTAATATGTCAATAGATTTCAAAAAAACATTATTTTAATTACAGCCTTATAATTACTTCATCAAATAGTTGCACTCACCCAAAATATTAGGATATACTATTAACCATTCTTTTTCTTCTTCCTCCATTCACATTAAGAAAATACAAAGTAAATACAAATCTTAGCATATAAATTATTCCCCTTAAACAAGATAAACCAGATATACCTCCTGATCAGGCCTTCTGTGCTAGAAATGCTACACACATAAAGAAAAGGAGAAAATTAAAAATTTAATGTATTTATAGAAAATTAGTAAGAAAATGTTTTTAAACTATAAAATTATATCAAGCTCATTTTTATAGTTTTAGGACAATTTATTTTTCATATAATATGACTTTAAGAAATATATTTGAGACTTTTTTTTCCTGAGATAATTATTTTCCCCTACCTACAAATACGCCTTCACCGTAATTTACCTCCTCTTGTTCCTGCCCCCAAATAATAGCGCCAAGTAAAATAAAACCCTAAAGAAAATCCCCCATGCGACAGTGACGGCAAGGCACCACCACTTTCCAAGCTGCGTCACCCCATTCTGCTTCAATATATCCAAACCCGTCGTCAGGCACGTCTCCGGCGATATGGTCATCCCCAACGCTCCTCCAATTGCCGCCAACACCCTCTTCTTCATCTCCTCCGGCATCTTACCCAGCGGAGTCGTATCAAATATCTGCATTCCTCTCACAAAGCATTTTCCAGCTTCCCCAAATTCATTGTGCAGAACCCCTTCATATGAATACTTCACCAGCGAGAGGTAGTGAAACCAGATCCAGTAGTCAGGTATTCTGTCGCGGTTGATGAAGAAGCCACTGAAAAGAAGGAAATAAGCGAGCACGGCGACAACAACGACGTAGCCAAGCATTACCTGAGATACGATAGCCGAGAGAAAGGTGACGAAGCCGCTTCCAGCCCAAAAGGAGGCGAAGATGATAAGCAAGTAGAAGAGGAAGCCCGAAGCACCTCCCGCGAGTCCAACGCCAAAGAAAGTAGCGGAAGTGAAGGCAAGGGAGAGAAGGACAAGGGAAGGTAAGGAGACGAGGGCGTTGGAAAGGACGTAGGAGGAGCGGCGGTAAGAGTTGTAGGCTGTCTCGCGGAGGAAGATATAGCGCTCTTGAAGGAAGACGGGGAGGGCATCAGAGCAAGTGTAGTACGTCGTGGACATGGCGAAAGCAAAGAAACCGAGACGCTCTTGTACGCCGCGAGGGGATGAGTCAAGTCGGAAGAAGACCGTGGCCAGAATGCCGCCTGTTACTAAGACGGAACCGAGACGCATGAAGAAGAGCTCAGGCATGCGTCTGGTGTTGGTGAAGGAGCGTCGTGCCAGGACGGGGGGGTGCCGTGTCAGGACGGCGAGTTCAACGTTGAAGGGATTGGCGAAGTGAGGCACCTTCGAGGCAGATGACAGCGATGATGATGAAGCTGCTTTTTGAATAGTTTAGCATAAAATGTGATATCAGTAAATTGGTAACATGAAAAACAAAATTTTCACTAAAAAAGCACGCATTGAGAGACAAATTTGCATTGGTGAATCAGAGTGATTCTAAGATAAATTTATTAGCTTATCTAATTTAAATAATTAGTCATTCATTGATCAATTTTGCTGACAAATTATATTTATATTTAAAATTTTTCTTGCATTTTTTTTGTGATTAAATATTATAGTACACTATAATTCACGAAAAATGCGAACAAAGCCTTTAGCTGCGTAAACGATAATACTACAATATTTAATAATTAGAAAAACTGCAAGTAATTTACATACTATCTTTTAATTAGCACAAGTAAACAGAGAATGCGAAGGATAATGCCATATGGAGCACTTGACGCAAAATCAAGGAAGGGCTAATAATTAGCATTTACACGTTAGCAATGTATTATTACGTGATTTCTGATTAAAAATAACATAAATAATAAAAAGCCAAAAGTAAATTCAATTGCTTTTGTATTATATTAGATATATGATAACAACTATTAAAATGTCACAGGGCAACAACATTTTTAAAGATCTGTATTTTAAAACACATTAAAAATGAGCTAATTTAAATAAAGAAAAATCTAGCGTGCATTCATATAAAATTTAAATTTAAAAAAGACTTGCTCATGCATATATATAATGCAAATATAATGATCTAATGAATACTTTATATATATATATAGATAGATAGATAGATAGATATGTCTCGATCCTCTAGAGGTCTTGGATTTAAAACATTGCAACAAATTGTCGATATCAATATGTACAAACTTTGGTTTAAGTTTCAGGTGGGGGAGTCCATTTGGGCTCAATTTCTTTATCATAAATAATTTCATATTGCTCACCCATCTACTATGACTTGGAGAACTGGTGATTCTAAACTTTGGAAGGCTATACTCCTTGCTAGAACTATTCTACTCAGTTTAGTTTTTGGGAAGTAAGAGATGGTAAAATCTCCTTTTGGCATGACCATTGGGGCACTTCTGATCTTACTAGCCTTCCACGTTCAGATATTACTCCAAACATGTTGGTTTCTAATGTTTGTGATGGTGGAAATTGGAATATTAATATGTTGAGGTCCTTGGTGAGAGATTTAGCTCTTTCTATTTCTACTACCCCTATACTTACAGGTGGAAGAGATAACCCTATGTGGAAATTCATTTCTACGGGGCTTGTTACTAAAATGTTATGTAGAAATACTCATTGCTATCACAAATGGAAATAGAGCTCTTCCATATGGCATCCTTTTATTTCTCCTTCTACCTCTTTTTTTTATTTGGTGATACTTACAATCCTTATTACCTCTTGATGACATACTTAAGCTGAAGGGACTGAAGTTTTTTTCTATTTGCTACATATTTAAGAGAGAAGTTGAATCTTCCCATGATCTATTTTTTGAATGTTGTTTTGCTAGGCATGTTTGGAATACTGTCGGTGAGCTACTTGGTGTCTGCTGGGCTAGTCCCTTTAGTTTGAATAAACTATTAGAGGCTTGACAAGGTGTCACCTCTCTTCCCTCTAAGATGAAATACTTTCCTTTAATGGTTCTTTGGTTCATCTGGCTTGCTAGAAATGATTATAAACATCACTCTTTTCCCCCCTTCTCCTACTATTACTGTTTCTTTCATCACGGCTAATACTTATAAAGCTACTAGAGCTATTAATATGCTAATGCCACATGAATTTCAGATGGAAGGAAGAGACCTTTTTTGGTCAGCTGGTTACCAGCTTTATCTGGGTGGCTTAAGGCCAACATAGATGCTAGTTGGTCTAATATAGTTTCTTGTGTTGGTGGTTTGTTAGAGACAGTAATTGGATTTGCCATGCTTTTCTTGCCACACCTATTGTAGCGTCCACACCTCTTCAGGCCGAATGTTGTGCTGTTCTTTTAGCTTTAAAGGTCACTGTTTTTTTTAATTTTAAATGTGCTATCATTGAGACTGATTCACAATGTATTTATGATATCCTCATCAAAAACTATGAACCGGTCTGGAACATAAATTGTTTACTATAACACATACATAATGTGATTAATAGCAATCAATTTCAAATTTTCTTTACTTTCGTCTATCGTGAGGGAAATACTCCTACTGATTCGCTTTCTAAGCTGAACCTAAATAAAGCTCTGGTTGGCATTACCCCTCATTTTCCTCTTAAAAGTTATATAGTTAGTGATATGATGGACACTCCTTATTTAAGGAGCTGATGGAACCTTATGTTGAATCGTTTCTGCTTTGTTGGGCTTGTTCTTTCTCAAGCCTCATGATTTATGGTGGGAAGGTTGGTTTTTTCTATCTAGATTTTTGTTCTTTTACAGATTTTATTATGTCTTATTTTTTGGACTGGACTTCTTTTGCAGCTAATGTTATTAAATGGTATACTGGATTGCCACCTCACTTGCTATACTATTTTGCAAACCCTAACTCAATGGGGAGATTTTGCAAGTGTTATGAAAGCATATCTGGATCAGGTTGCTTTGAACGAAGATATTTTAACTTTACAACTCTCACAGCTAATTTTACAATGTTTTTATACATTCCTTTGGGTATTTTTTCTTGGATTGGTATACTTTCTGTCGGGATACTTTTCTTTATGGAGATGTTATACCTTTTTGTCTTCTCTTTCTTTGTTTCTTTGTGTGGAGTTGTAATGCGGAAGGAGAAACCCCTAGGATGCTATCTATTTCTTTTTATTTTTAGTGGGGATCTTCTTTCCCTCCCTATTTTTGTAATTTCATTTTATATCAACATGTAGGGAGCCACAAGCTGCTCTTTCTTTAAAAAAAATAATTATATATATGAAAGTTTTCAAATCAAAAGAAAATATTGATCAATATATGACATTTAAGAAAGTTTAATTCAGTTTGATTCTAAAATGCAAGCATTAATTTTATATTTTTAGTGAGTTGTATTATTACTCGTCCAACTTTTAAACAAAAGTAATCAAAACTAAAACATTCATAAAATAAGTTCCCTAAATCATGCACTAAGCTCATTGTTTTTCTTGATCTCATATATGAAGCCTGTATAATAAATGATACTTGTACGGTGATTAATGACGTGTTTTCATACAAAACAAAGTGAATAATATTTCTTATTTTGATTAAGCCATTCAATTTTTTTTTAGCATTTGTTATATGACATGACATAAATAAAATAGGAGTAATTTGTGTATGTGTGTGTGTATTAAACACACTTGTGATTTAAATTAAATATTTCGTTATTCTTACATACATTAAAAATATTTTACTACATACAAAACTAGCTTTTTCTTAAAATGCGTGAAAATAAAATCAAAGGTGCAGCTAAAGACATGTTATTTTTAGCTACATAATTAGAACAGGATATTCTTAATTTTAAAGCCATGTTAAACATCAGTTGATTTGATCAGCAAAAAACGAGTTTCTTCCAAGCAATTTTGATTGATTTTGATATTCTTTATTAGATTGATATTGTTATATGATATTTATAATTTGCTTCTTGGGAAATGGTATTTTTTCATGGGTGAGGAAAATTATGAGGTGCGGCGTCCGGACGCCGAATAGGAGGGGGCAAGACCCCCTCTCTCCTCTTGAGAACCCCGCACCTTATAATTTTTCCGGGAGCATATAAATGTACATAGACTAATATACCTGCTCAAACTTTTAAAGGACACACTTACATAAGATCATTAACTCAAACATTTAAAATTTATTTTCTCAATTTAAATTGCTCTTAAATTGGATTAGTATCCTAGTGAAAATTTTCATTGATATATGTAAATGTGTGTGTGTAGAAATGTGGTTATATATCTCTATAACTGAAATGAGAACATACTACGTGGTTTGTTTGCACATTTGGATACCCAATCTCAGGAGATCATATGAAAGCAAATTCAAATGCATGATGACATGTTCTCTTATTATGTGTTGTGATTGCACATTTATATATTCAATCATGATCATACGAAAATAAATTCACATGCATGATGAAATGATTTCCGAGGACTTATCCTCTGTACGCACAATTATCCGCAAGAAATATTTTTCATATTTTAGATAGAAAAAAATGAATAACAAACTCTCGTTATTCCTGATAGGGTTTAATTGAGAAACAATGCTTATATGAACCTTTAAGTGTATTTTAGACTATATTTTGAGAGAAGCGAAAGAAAAATGTATGCCAATTAAAATAAAAAAGATTAAATAAACTTACATCAGTTTGTATTTATTAATTTAAATTTACGCCAATTAAAATAAAAAAGATTAAATAAACTTAACATGAGTCTGTATTTATTAATTTAAATTTTTAGATTACTTTTCCCTTTTTTCGTTCCCTCTAACTCCAAGCATATTTAAAGAAATAACA